TATTATATATTTTTATTATTAATATTATTATTATTACAAACAGGCCCATATTACACGGCCCAATTACAAATCCCGGAGGCCCAATGCTAGCCTAATAGAAACCCTAAACTATATTAGGGTTTTTAGCTTCTCCAGCCGCCTCAATCTCACCCGTTGGATCTGAGAGATCCAACGGCCCACACTCATCCAGAATAAACCCTAGGGTAATAATACCCTAGGGACCACGGGGCCGCCGTTCGCCAACCTCTGCTACCACGCTGCCACGACGCCAACCGAAGGATCCAGAAGGCCAAGCTATAGCCGCACACGTTGCCCTCAACGGTGAGTCACCACTGGAAGTTCGGTGACTCACCAAACTCTACTCTTTTACCCGGTCCGAGATAAGCGCCGGTGATGGCTATAAAGCCACCACCGAACCTGCAAAGAAGAACAGAGGCAACCAACAGCCACGGAGGCAACCAACATAGAGTAAAAAAAAAAGAAAACAAAAACAGAAAACAAAGAAAGAAGAAAGAAACTTACCCTTGGAGCATTGACCATCGCCGGAAGCACTAAACATCGCCAGAGAACAAAAAATACCGAAGGTATTTTCATAGATCTAATCCGATTAAAAGTCTTTTTGGGGAAACAAAGGTCGGAATCGACCTTGGGGATATTAGGGCTATATTTTAGTGTAAAACAATTTTCCCGGCCACCGCCTGCGGTGGCCGGCGGCGGGGTTAACGCCGGCGAACGGCTGTCGGCCGGTGACCGACTTCCCTCCGATGAGGGAAGCTAGAGAGAGGCGAGAGAGAGTTTAAACTCTCTCAGTTTAGAGAGAGGAAAGAAAGTGAGAAATGAGAGAGCTGGCCCTTCGGGCCAGCCGTTTCGGGCTTAAATAGCCCTCCCCGAACGACGTTGTTTTGGGGAGGGCTATTTGTGTAATTTTTAAACGTTAAACCCTATCCGTAGTCCCTCTATTTTATATGTTTTACATTTTAGTCACTGAATCAAATTTATGATCCTTTTAATTTGGTCTCTAAATTTTATTTATTTATATTTTAGCCCTTAACCGTAATTATAAATATTTTAGATAAAATATGTATTTAGTCCTTTAATTTTAATAATTAATATTTTAATCCCGAGTACATATTTTTAATTTATTTTAATCTGATATTCGATTTTTATATAATTTTAGTTTAGTCACTGAATTAATAAATAAAGAGAATAGCATGTTTAGTCACTCAAATTTTAAATAATTAATTATGAATTAGGTATTTAATTCTATTAAGTTACAATTTAGTCACTAATTTCAATTTTTATTTATTTTAAATATATAGTTTTAATTTTGTTCATTGTTTAGTTATATGTTAATTTTATATTTTATTATTACTATTATTATTATTATTATTATTATTATTATTATTATTATTATTATTATTATTATTATTATTATTATTATTATTATATTTAACCATAAATATATATATATATATATATCTAATAAATAATATGTATTTTATTAAAATCTTAGTTAATTATTTTTAACTTATTTTAATCCTATTTTAATATTTATTTATTTTCCAATATTAAGAAAGGGCAGTCTTAAAATAACTGGATGTCCATTTTCTGATATTTTTAAATAAATAAATATCTTATTTTATAAATTATATATTTTTTAAATATCAAAGAAAAGAGCTGTCTTAAGACACCTAGAAGTTATTTTCTGATATTTCTAAATAAATAAATATTTTATTTATAAATATATATAAATTAATATATATTTTTCATAATTATAATTTTGAAATAATAGGATTATAAATTAAATATATTTTGAATTTTTAAATTTTTAATAATAGAGACAATTTATAATTAAAAAGTACCAATTTTGGGCGTTGTAGGGGTGCTAATCCTTCCCTAAACGTAACCGACCATGAATCCCTTTTTATTATTAAAAAGAACGAATTTTTGGTTAAAACGCAGATCATTTCATCTTTTAATCGATGTTTTCTTAAAAACTCTTTTAAAGGATGATTTTTAGGTATTCGACCTACCTGATCCAAAAGGCCGATGGCGACTCCCAAATTATTTTAAAAAATCCATTTATTCACATCACTTTTCCCGCCAAGTAAAAAATTCATGCCCGGACGAAAACCGGTTACGACAGGCTGCATTGGCCATAATACATTGAGAATTCAAGGAACTATTCAAGGCATACCATTGAATATTTTAATTGATAGTGGTAGCACACACAGTTTTTTGACTCCAAAATAGGCTGATGCTGGCATACAAATTACTACTCCTCACCCTTTGACTATCACTGTGGCTAATGGTTAGCAGCTTTTCAGTTCTGCTAGATGCAACAAAGTGGAATGGTAAATGCAAGGACACACTTTTATACATGATTTCATATTGCTTAAACTGGGTGGAAGTGACATGTCCTTAAGGGTTGATTGGATGAAGTTATGTAGACCAATACTAATGGATTTCAATAATATGACATTAAGCTTTGACCATCTAAGAGAGAAGATTATTATTCAGGGTAAATAACCCTCTACAGAACTACAGTCAATTTCAGGGGAAACATTACTTAAAATGACTGCATGGGATTCAGATATTATGGGCCACATTGTTCTATTGTACATGGCATGAAATCCTCATCGTATTCCTACTGAACTCCAACCTTTATTGGAGAAATACAGTACACGTTGTGCTGAACCTGAAGGATTACCTCCTCAGAGAACTCATGACCATGCCATTCCACATATGCCTAATTTAGCACCTGTTCATCTAAGGCCCTACATGTTTGCTCACAATCAGAAGGTTGAGGTAGAAAAACATATTGCAAGCATACTCTCTTCTTCTGTTATACAGCCTAGCAGGAGCCCTTTTGTAGGTCCATGCCTTCTTATAAAAAAAGGATGGCACTTGGAGATTTTGTGCGGATTACAGGTAGTTAAACAACATGACAATCAAGGATAAATTATCTATTCCTATAGTGGAAGATGTGTTAGATGAATTGCATGGGGCAGTTTATTTTTCAAAAATTAATTTGAGATCATGTTATTGGCAAATTAGAATCAGACCAGAGTGCATTTACAAGATAACCTTTAGAAAACATCAAGGCCATTATGAATTTAAGGTGATGACTTTTGGCCTTACTAATGCTCTTGCTACATTTCAGGCTCTTATGAATGAATTATTTAATTCTTTTCTTTGAAAATTTGTCTTGGTATTCTTTGATGACATTTTGGTGTACAACAGTAGTATGCAAGACCATATTAATCATTTGCATATGGTTTTAGAAGTTTTTCAAGTAAACAAATTATTTGTAAAATTGTCCAAATGTTTTTTTGGACAGACTCAGGTGAAGTATTTAGGCCATATCATTTCGGCTGCAGGGGTGCCTACTAACCCCAGCAAGGTGGAAGTAATGCATACTTGGCCTAGACCTAAAACCCTTAAATCTCTACACGGGTTTCTAGGTTTAACAGGGTACTACAGAAGGTTTATCAGAAACTATGGACTTATTAGCAGGCCTTTGACACAGCTATTAAAGAAAGATGGTTTCCAGTAGAATTCTGAAGCCTATACTTCCTTTGAGAACCTTAAAAAAGCTATGTGTTCTGCTCCAGTCTTAGTATTACCAGATTTTTCTAAGAGTTTTTATTTAGAAATAGACACTAGTTATGGTGGTATAGGGGATGTACTTTCACATGATGGTCGACCTATTGCCTATCCGAGTAAAGCTCTCAACCCTAGACACTCTGCACTTTTCATTTATGAACGAGAATATCTTGTTATCCTATTAGCTATTTCAAAGTGGAGGCATTATCTGGAAAGCAAACCTTTTGTCATCAAAACTGACCATGAACCCTTAAAGTACCTCTTAGAACAGAAGTTAACTACCACTATTCAAAAGAAAGGGTTGACCAAACAATTGGGACTCGACTACACTATACAGTACAGAAAGGGAAAATCAAATGTAGTTGTAGATGCTTTATCTAGAATATGGGAAGATCAAGCTCAGTGTTTTACTTTGGGGGTAGCAGTTTTCATTCCTACTTGGGTTCAAGAGGTGGAAGATAGCTATCAGGGAGACAACCTAGCTAAGGATTGGATTTCAATCCTCATTATCAATCTTACTGCTGACACTAAATGGAAGTATTCAAAGGGTGTTCTCATATACAATGGTAGAGTGTATATTGGGGCTACTGGAAGTCTTAGATTAAAGATTGTTCAAACTTTGCATGACTCTCCTCAAGGTGGTAATTTAGGAGCATAGGATACATATCACATGATAAGGGCAAATTTTTATTAGCCTATACTTAAGGCTATGGTAGCTACTTATATAAGGTGTTGTGATACTTGTCAGCAAACTAAGGTGGAACATATAACAAAGCCTGGTTTGCTACAGCCCCTGCCTATTCCTAATCAATCCTGGGAAGTAATTACTATGGATTTTATAAAGGGCATACCCACTTCCCTCATAAAAAACTACATTTGCAAATAATGGATAAGTTTACCAAATACAATCATTTCCTGCCACTATCTCATCCTTATTCTGCAGCTGAGGTAGTTAAACTATACCTAGATAATGTTTATAAGTTACATGGACATCCTAAAATGGTCATTTCAAACAGGGATAAGACTTTCACTACTGTTTTTTTAAGGAATTGATGAAACAGTTGGGTACTAAGACCCTTTTCAGAACTGCTTATCATCCATAAACAGATGGCCAAACAGAGAGAGTTAATCAGTGTTTGGAGCAGTATTTAAGAGGCCTTTGTTTCTTTCAACCTAAACAATGGACTAAATGGTTACCCCATGCAGAGTGGTGGTACAACACCACTTACCACAGTACTCTAAAACTAACTCCTTTCTAGACCTTATATGGATACAAAGCACCTATTATGGTTTGACCTACAGACTCTATAGCACAGTTAGTTAATGATATCATGAACAGTAGAGAAAAAATCAAACAACTGGTTAAACAACAGCTATAATTGGCAAGTAATCGAATGAAGCAGCATGCAGATCAAAAACGATCAGAGAGGTTTTTTGTTATTGGGGATATGGTTTACCTGAAATTACAGTCGTACCAGAAAACTTCACTTACCCTACGAAAAAACCTGAAATTGGCAACCAAATTTTATGGGCTATACAAAATTCTGGAAAAAATAGGAGCAGTGGCTTATCGATTGGACTTACCAGAATCATCGCGACTGCACCCACTATTCCATGTGAGCCTCTTGAAGAAATTCATTGGGGAATCATCCACTTCAGCAACATATCCTCCTGCAGTAGATGAAGAAGGACAGGTAAGAATCAAACCTTTGAAAATTATGGGCAGTTTTCTACGTTTAATCCTTGGGGACAAGGATCGTCTCATGGACGGGTATTGTTACAATTGGAGAAGAGGAAGGACGAGGAGACGATGAAGAATTGGGAATTGAGGAGAGAGGGTTAGGGATTAAAAAAGGGGATTTGGGAATTGAAGCACGTAAAGGTCAGGTGATGAACTTACTTTATGAGATGGAGCAGGCCAAGCAGATCCAAGGACAGCTGGAGCGGCCCAAACCCGATAGCCCAATACCTGCAAAAGAGAAGAAACGATAAGAATCATTCTGTTATTAGTTTGTTATTTTGGATTGCCAGTTGACAACCTTAGATTCCCTGTACAACAATGTAACTAAATAATACCTACTTGTGGGAGCATATTTCCTTATGCAATGAATAAATGAACTTTTTCCTTCTCTAAATTCTCTCATTCTTCTATACTCTTTTCTCGAATTCTTCTCTATTTCCCTCAAGCTATAATAATATTATATATATTAAATACTAAATATGTATAACTATATATTAAAAATACCATTTAAAAATTCATATATATATATATATATATATATATAATACAGGGACTAAAACATTATTAACCATTCGAAATAGGGGTCAAATCGTAATTAAACGAAGATATTAAGGGTCAAACGTGCAAATATACCCAACATACAATAACTAACAAATCAAAACAATATCATACCATACGAAGACTAAAATGTAAATGTAGTCAAACTAAAGGATCCGGAACATAAATAACGCATTTCATTCAGTGACAAAAATAAAACAAGTAAAAAAGGTTAGGGCCTAAAACGAAATTTACCCATACCCAAAATACATGACTATTCTACATTTAAAACAATGTGGTTCCTAGGAACCTAAAATGATGTCATTTTGAGGTTCATATTTAAATCTTTTTAGGGTTTTAGAAAACCCAAGGCCCTCATTTTGTTACCTCTTCCAGCCACATAAAAGAGAGAGAGATCAAAAACTCTCTGATTTCCTTGCCTCGTCGGAGTGTTCCGTCGTCGCTCACGGTGGTTGGAGGTCAAGAAAACTAGCCTAAAACCACCTCCTCAACCCCCTCCAAGACTTGATCTAAGGTCTTTTCCCCCAAAAACCAAACAAAAAGCCTAGATCTAAGAGAATACCTCTCAGCCACTTCGAAAACCAGCGCCTCTTAAGTTTCCCGACATATGGCGAACGAGATAAGCCTTCATCTCTTCTTTTATTTTTTTCTTTCTTTTTTCTTTTATTAGTTGGGGTTTTCACGATTTTTTTTGTTTTTGATCTGAGTTCTTTAGTTTTGGTTCGAATGGATTTTGGTTGTTTTTTTCTCATTTTTCTTTATTTTTGCTCTCAATTTTTTTGTGTTTTATATTTTTCTCTTCTGATAATGGTTGCATGTTATGTAAGAAGAGTTATTTTTGTCTCTTTTCCCTCGTGTAAAATAGGTTATTAAGGGTCACTTTCGACTATTGTCTTCTACCATAATATGCATTTTACCCTCTGTTATGCTCTATCCTTCATACAGGAGGGACCACAAGTACTATTGTCGTTTGTTTTCTTGCATGTCATTGTCTTCAGCTGAGAAGGTTGTTGCTGAGGAGGAGGACCATGGTTAAGGGTTCATGTGAGGCAAGGGACCAAGAGGTGAGCGCGTCATTATTGGGGTCGTCATTTTCGACGTGTGAGAAACTCAAGGGCTCGTACGTGAATCGCACGCGCCAATAAATCGATGGTTGAGATTAAATCATGGTGGCGACCAGTTAGTACATTAGGATAAAACCCTAATCTTGATGTATCTAGACCGTTGGATCTAGAGTAGATCCAACAGTGATTAAGTAGTTGCGCGAGTTGTCTTTAGGATTATGAGAAACCTTAAATTACTCATTCGATCTGGATCATTGATGGAGTCCATATCCAATGATTCCATGTTTGTACGGTACATAGAAGGGTTTCAAAACCCTAATTATTGCTTGGGCAGCTAGGATTCCTTCCAATGACATTTGGGCTTCTTCACGTTGGGCCTATATTGAATTATGCTTGCAGGACCATACAGACTGGTTTCTTTTGACTTTGATTGTACCTGGGCCTTTTACCCGTTTGATGGCTTGCAGGGTCAAACGAGCATACCCACTAGCCTCTTATTGGAATTTTTAATATGGTCGAGTTAATTTTGAAATAAAATAAAAGAAATTAAGTTAATAATAATAACATTAAATAAAAATGACATATAAATAAAAACTATATTTATACTAAACGTATTTATATAATACACATATTTATTTTCCAAAGCTAAATATATTAATATACTAATACTCATTTTTAAAACTATAATATATACTTACTTCCCAAAACTATATAATATAATTATTTCAAAACTATATATATATATACTATATTATTTTCAAAACTATAATGATATATTTATACTATTTTTAAAAACTATATAATGTTATTTATTTTTAAAACTATATTATATATATACTATTTTGTTTTTGAAACTATATATATACTACTATATTTTAAAACTATATAAAATATTATATACATACTGTATAATTACATATTATACTATAAAGAAAACCCAAAATATCCCTGGACGAAAAATGGTATCTACAATAACAATATACATTATAAATATGTGTCTATAATTATAGATTTTAATCCAACACCATAAACAAATAAAGATGCATAAAGAGCCCTAGTGAATCGTCTACACAGGTAAGAGTGTGCAAAAAGATCTGATATAGTCAATCCAATCCATTGATCCGGTAATATGATATGAAAATTCAGATATCCGATCCATTTTTTATTTTCAGATTATTCGGATCGGGTATCTGAAAAAAAATTCAGATAATAGAATCATATATAGATCGGATAAATTCCACTTTCGAATTATCTGAAAATCTAATGAAAAAAACTGGGCTTATAGATTTTAGATACCTTTAGCCCAATAAATGAGTAACTCACTAACTCATTAAAGCTCTAACCCAATAAAAATTACAATATTTAACTATATATTGTGTTATATATATATATATATATATATATATATATATATATATATATATATATATATATATATATATATATATATATATATATATATTCGGATATGAATATCTTGATATTTAATCCAAAAATTTAGATATCTGAAATTTTCGGATATCCAAATTTGTTGATTGGATTTGATTCGATATCTGAATTTATACACCCCTATGCACAAAATCAAAGTCAAAAGGGCATGAATCCTCAATCGAAAGGGTGAAATTGTAGACAGGTCGATTGTCAAAAGGCAGAGTTTCGATATCGATATCGATTATTTATATATTTCAAATTAGTCATTTTTATTAAAAAAAATTATAGTTATTTGAGTTTGACGTTAACATGTTGGTTGAGATATGATAAAATCATATTTTAATGGTGTATATTAATACCACCATTATTTTCAAGCACTAGCTCAAAAACATAATATTTCAAACATTGGCTCTCGATCTCTTTTCCGAACTGAGGGTTAAGGGCATTAGACCAGATACTATTGTTTACAATTGCTAAATTCATGGTATGTGCAATTCAGGCCAGCAGGAGGCAAAAAGTCTTCGAATGAAATGGTGGATAATGGTATTTTACTTGATGTTTTCACGTATGGTATATTGATCGATTCACATTGCAAGCAAGGGATGATTCCCAAAGCTATAGATATGGTTGGCACAATGAGAAAGCAAGGCATTGAGCCTGATGTTGTCACAAATTCTGCATTGATCGATGCACATTGCAAGGAAGGGATGGCTGCTAAAGCTGAGCAAATTATTGACAAAATGATAAAGCGAGGCATTGAGCCTGATGTCTTTATCTACACTGCATTAATAAAATAGCCTAAACATTTGTTATCTAATTTTTTTTTTTTTGAAAAAGTATACTCGAATAATTAATTTTCAGATATTAACATTTACTCAGACATCATCGAGATAAATGCTAAAATAGTGTTTTTTTAAGGAAAAAAATTAAAATTTTATTAAACTTTACAAATAAAATTGAAAATTAATTATTTTTTTAATATATCATCGTATCATTGAGATAACTAGCGTTAATGTGTCGATGAACGAATTCTTATTAGTTGATAACGTAAATGAATAAATTGTAAGAATCAAAATTTAAGTGCTCAAAATCGAAACCAAATGAAACAAAATTTACCTCTACTGTAATTTACTCTAATTTATTTTACAATTTTGTAATAGACAGTCGCCGAAGGGTTTAAACGGCCGTCGTCTAAGTTTCATTTCCCCTAAACAAGTTCTATATTCACTTGGTGCTGCCACCATTTCAAGCTCTTACTTTTCCATTTGAAGATATGGGTAAGCTTAATTCTTCTCTCCTTCTTCGTTCTGTTTTCAATTGTGGAAGGAATCTTTCTATTTTCCACTCTTCTTTTTCTTCTTCTGTTAACACCTTTGCTACCCACATGGATGCTTTAGATAAGAAATCCATGTCTTTAAGTGGAAAGGGGAAAAACTGTGATGGCTTTCATAGTGTTGGTGATGCTCTGATTGTGTTTGATGAGCTGATTGGTAAGTACCCAAGACCTTCCATCGTGGAATTCACTAAACTACTAGCTGCCGTTGTTAGGATAAAACATTATGCCATTGTCATTTCTATGTGTGGCCGGATGGAACTGTTAGGAGTTCCCCATAATGATTATTCTTTGAGCATCTTGATTAATTGTTTTTGTCAATTAGGTCGGGTTGATTTTGGGTTTTCTGTTTAGGGGAAAATGCTCAAGTCTGATGTTGAACCTAGCCTTGTAACTATGTCCACTTTGATTAATGGTCTTTGCAAGCAAAGTAAGATTTCACAGGCCGTGAGATTGTTTGATGAAATGGTTGAAAAGGGGTATCAGCCTGATTTAATTGTTTACAATACACTTCTTAATGGTTTGTGTAAGATTGGCAGTACGGAAAAAGCTATTAGGTTTCTAAGGCTGATGGAAAGAAGAGGTTTCGAACTCAATATTGTAGCATATAACATTGTCATCGACTGCCTTTGCAAGAACGGGTTGATAAAGGAGGCTCTCGATCTCTTTTCCGAACTGAAGGTTAAGGCCATTAGACCAGATACTATTACTTACAACTGCTTAATTCATGGTATGTGCAATTCAGGCCAGCAGGAGGAGGCAAAAAGTTTCTTGAATGAAATGGTGGATAATGGTATTTTACTTGATGTTTTCACGTATAATATATTGATCGATTCGCATTGCAAGCAGGGGATGATTTCCAAAGCTATAGGTATGGTTGGCACAATGAGAAAGCAAGGCATTGAGCCTGATGTTGTCACGTATTCTGCATTGATCGATGCACATTGCAAAGAAGGGATGGTTGCTAAAGCTGAGCATATTATTGACAAAATGATAAAGCGATGCATTGAGCCTGATGTCTTTATCTACACTGCATTAATAAATGGCCATTGCTTGGGAAACAAAATGGACAAAGCTAGAGGAGTTCTACAGTTGATGATTGAGAAGGGTTGTGCACCTAATATAGCTTGTTACAACACAATGATCAATGGATATTGCAAAGCTAAAAGGTTAGATGAGGCAATAGAACTATTTCATGAAATATCTCGAAGAGAACCAATCCCAGATATTGTCACATACAACATTCTTATGCAATGTATGTTTCAGTTAGGGAGAGTTTCAACTGCATGTGAATTTTTGAGGAAGATGCTTGATTCTGGACATGTTCCAGATAGAGTGACCTGTTTGATTTTGCTAGATGGTTTATGCAAAACAGGTGAACTCAAAGAGGCATTGAAACTTTTCCAAGCAATGCGAAACAACAGGTTCGAACTTAATATTGTCTCTTATAATATCATGATCAATGGGATGTGCAAAGCTGGGCATATTGATGTTGCGAAGGAATTATTTCATAAACTCTCATTCAGTGGCTTAAAATCGACTGTTTACACATATACTATAATGATTGATGGTTTATCGATAGAGAGATTACCAGATGAAGCATACCAATTGTTTAGGAGAATGGGAGATAATCATTGTGTTCCTGATAACTGTTGTTATAATGTAACAATTCGAGGGCTTCTTGAAAACAATTCTACCTTGAAGGCAACCCAACTTCTTACAGAAATGGTGGGTAAGGGCTTCTCTGCAGATATTTGCACTGCCACTTTATTTGTGAATATCATCTTAGGATCTGATAAATCAATCTTGATGAAGGTTTAACGTTTAGTGTAAAGACCATTACATGCAATTGTGAAACGATTTATTTATACATTTCCTTTGATTATTAGATAAGGAATGAGTTTCTTCCTGTTTTTTAGGTGAGGAAAAAGCGTTTTCTTCAATTTTACTGGAAAAGCTTTCTTTAACTTTTAGATGAGGAAATTCTGAGGTTTTATTTATTAGTGCTTACACATTGTTTGCTTTCTTCGTCCTCAAGCTCTCCACATTATAGATAGCAAACAATGGAAGGAAGAAACTACACACTTTGAATTTGTTTCAATCCTGGTGGGATCCTTTGCTGTGTGAAATCTAAATGTAAACTCAATCTATTTCTTCTTTAAAAAGTTTTCAACTTTGTGTTTTATTAATATTTTGTAGTTTCAGAATCAGTAGAGGATTTTAGTCTCCTGTTCGACTCCATTGCCCTCCTTGGGGTCTTAGTCTCCATAGTGTTTTGAGATACAAAAAATATATATATTTCATTTATTTTATCATTTTATTCACAGTTCTTTTCACTAAGCCCAGATTTAAGAGCATTTGACGATAAACCCAGATTTCTTGTAGTATTTTTTTAGAGTAAATTAAATATAAAATATTATTTAATGACTTGCTTGATGTTTTAGCAATAGTTTAGGGCTAAAACTAAATATTAACCTTTTTTCAATGTTATCACATCATCAATTTGTTACGAATTGAAAGTGCTAGTGATAGAATTTTTTTTTAAACATTAGTGGAAAAATAAAGATTACTCAAATATTAGTTACTATTGATGTCATTTATCCAAGTATTAGCAAGGGTAAACTACTTGAATGACCATCTAACCATGTGGTGTCAAAATGACTATCATTTTTCAAAATTGCGTCAATGGTCATTGAACTAATTGGGTTTAATATAGTTATCTGACGTTAGTATTTAATAGAAGTGTTTACGTGACAGTTAAACAAATTAGTATAATTACATATTTATCTTCAATACTTGTATATTCAATCAATTTAGACCTAATTTTAATTTATTTAATTAATTAACAATCCCAGGAGGTGACATATGTTACCATTAAATCAAATGATGTTTTATTTAATTTAAATTTAATTATTTAGCATACAACGAGATGGTGACTTGGTTAAAGGAAAATTAAATTGCAAAGAAAGGCACCATAATAGTTTTGGGTGATTTAAACTTGGAACCAAGGGAAACAAGAGTCCATACATTGCCACATAGCCAACATAATATATATATATATATATAATATATATATATAGTAGCTAATACTAGAAGAAAAAAGAAAAAAAATACTTATGAAGGTGTTTGAACCTAGGCTATGAAAAACTTGAGAGTATCAAACCACTAAACCAAACAATACATTTATATAATATTTTGGTAGATTTTATGTATAAACTTAACATTGATTTATACACCATTAAAAATTAAATTTAATATATATATATATATATATATATATATATAAAATAAAATTTCATATTTTTCACATTTATAATTTAATGATTATATATAATCTTAAATTGAGTATTTTTAATTTAATTAATTATTTTATTTTTATTAAGAAATAAAATGCGTAATTTAAGTTATAAAAATTAATTACTTTAAATTACACATTTTAAACTACACAATCTAGCACAATCTAACATGAACGCAAACGACCTTCGTAAAATAATTGTCGTTATTCCTTAAGCTCTTGAGTTTGAGCAAACCGATAATGAGCGCCGCAGAAGGTTCGCTCGACTGGCAATCAAAGTGAATCTCAAGCAACCTCTAATCTCGAAACTCTTAATTAACGGCCGGCAATTATGAGTATGATCTTTCCTTGCAATTTGTTTCAAGTGCGGATTCTACGGCCATGTGATGGATCAATGTCCATTGAATAAGCCTGTCGAACCTGTTTCCACCGATGATCCCCTGTCATTCCCCGGCGTCGGTTGAAAAGACTCTCGCGGAACCGTATGGCCCTTGGATGCTAGTTGATACCCACAGAAAGAGGAATTCGAGAGTCTCGACTTCATCGAAGGCAAAAAACTCTGAAGCAATCACCAGTAAATCCAGCTTAATCCAATCTTTGAGGAACTCCCTGCTGATTCACCTGCTATTACCAACCCAGTTCAAGAGCAAGTCTCGGTTGTTCCAACCACTGCTCAAGATAACCCGCAGCCTCATATCTCGGCAACTCAATTGTTCCCTAAAGGAATTGAGAATGCTGATCCAGAAGAAGCTTATTCTCGGTCTAAAGGTAAGGCTCTTTGGCCTCTCGAAAAATATCCCTGATCGTCCTTGCTCCAAGGAACACTAATATTATGGTTAAGAAAGACTCCACCAACTCCTCTTCTACCAGTCGCAATCTTAAGAACCGTAGCTAGACCTCGTTTAACCCTTTAAAGCATTTGGCAATCGAGTTGTCATCTTCAACATCACCGATTTTTCCCACTCGGAAACCCCATACAGATTCACGTCCCATCCATACAGATCCGCGTCCCAACTATGGTACCGCTGATGTGCATGGGGTTAACCCTTCTAAGCATGGTCCTCCTTTATTGAAGTGAATATTCTAGAATGAATCTAGAATGAGTGAATATTCTAGAATGAATCTAGAATGAGCTGCTGAAGTAATTTGCTGTGTGTGTGTAATGTAGTGCAGTAAGTTTGTTAGGATTCTGTTATACCAGATTACCAGCTTGTGGAGTTAGTTACCACGTGTATATAAACCGTGTGTTGTTAATGAAAAGAACTAAGAAACTTCCATCAAGATTTCCAGCTTTCTTTACTCATTCTAATATGGTATCATCCGCCTTGTGATCTTGGAGGTTGCTGCTTTCATGGGCGATTGCAGCAATATTGCTTTTGAGTTCGGGGAAGCTGCCCGTAGCAGCAAGATCTTCACGCATAAGAAAATCAACATCTTGCTGGATGAAGCGAATTATTTGTTGTGGAAACAACAAATACTGCTCACGGTTCGCAGCCACAGACCTGCTCGAATTGCTGATGAATCAGGTGCTAGTGTTGTGAATGAAGACTATGAAAACTATGTTGCTCAGGATAGTGTGCTTGCATCTTGGTTGCTATCTACGATCAGTGATCCCTTGTTACCTCAGTTTGTAGGAGCCGAGACAGCAGCTGATGTGTGGCGAACGGTTCAGAAGTTCTTTGTCAATCGGTCGACTACGACTGTGATGAGTTTGCATTGTAAACTCAGATCTGTTAAGAAAGGAGATGACAGCATGAGGCTATATCTTATTAAGATTAAAGAAGTGTGTGATGCGCTTGCAGCGTGTGGGAGTGCTATCTCGGATCTTGAACAGATTGCTACCATTCTAAATGGTCTTTCAGTTGAATATCAACTGTTTGTGGCTGTGATTACTGCGAGCAAAGAGATGTTCTCTGTTGACAATGTCAAAACAGTCTTAATGGATGCTGAATCACAGTTGAGTGGTTTTCAGTTGCAGCAGTCCTTTCCTATGAGTGCGAATGTAGCTACTGTTCGAACAAACAATCGTGAAAATGGCAGGTCTATAGCTCAAGGCTACAACGGAAATGGCGCTGGCAGTTATAACAGGAATAACAAATCTGCAGGACGTGGTCGTGGCCGTCCTCGGTTACAATGCCAGCTGTGTGGAAAAAATGGACACTCGGTCGATCGCTACTGGCATCGCTTCGATCAGACATTTCCAGGTGTGTTGGCTGACAAAAGTGAAGGTACTGAAGCATATTACACTGCTGTAGATGAGTGTAAGTCGTGCAGTAGTGGTGTGCATGCTCAAGCACACACTGCCTCCACAAATTATGGCCAGTGGATTGTGGACTCTGGGGCTACCCATCACATCCCGATGCCTCGAACCTTACCACTAGCTCGGATTATAATGGACCAGGTAAGGTGGTAGTTGGTAATGGACATCGTCTAACTATAGCTCGAGCTGGCTCTTCTGCCATGACTATTAATGATTTTATGCATGTGCCCTCAGTAACTAAAACCCTTCTTCTGTGTCAAAGTTTGCTAGAGATAACAAGGTGTTCTTTGAGTTTCATACGGGGTCATGCTTGGTTAAGGATGAAGTGACTAAAGTGGTGTTGCTAAAGGGACAAGAGCATGCAGGCCTTTATCAGTTTGTAGCAAATACGGAATACTTGGAAGCTTGTCATGCCATGGTGGTAGAAGACTCTTATAGTAACAATAAAAAGTATGATCTATATACCACGCGTTTCATCTAGTTTTCAGTGATGTATGAGGTCCAGCACACATGCTTCCAATGATATAGGTATTATGTCTCTTTCGTCGATGCATGCACGAGACATAGTTGGGTTTACTTGCTTAAAACCAAGGATCAGGTTCTGCCAACTTTTTAGTTGTTCTTCAGCTTGATACAAACTCAGTTCAATGCTACTGTGAAAGAAGTTCAAAGTGATTGGGGAGGTGAGTATCGGTCAGTCTCCACTTGGCTTAAATCTCTAGGTGTGGTGCATCGTCTAGCATGCCCACATACATCCGAGCAAAACGGTGTGGTTGAGCGAAAACACAGACACATAATTGAGTCAGCACTAGTTCTTATGGCTCAAGCTTTGATTCCATTTAAGTTCTGGTCGTATGCAGTGTGCACTGCTGTGCATCTCATTAATCGGCTACCTACGAAAGTTCTTCAAAACAAATCCCCATACGAGGTGTTGTACTCAAAGAAACCAGACTATGGTTACCTCAGAGTTTTTTGGTTGTCGTTGCAGTCCCCATTTACGGCCATATAATGCTCATAAACTCAACTATCGATCCTCTCAGTGCGTGTTCTTGGGGTACAGCACTCAGCACAAAGGTTATCAATGCATGGACTCGGACGGTCGAGTGTTTATTTCGCGACATGTCGTTTTTGATGAAGAATTTTTTCCTTTTGCAACATCAGGCATCAAGACTGGGTGCAAGTGTACGTTACGTAAGAGTGGTGTACAATTTCCTTTAGTAGCTGGTGCTCAGCGTGTCTGCATGAGAGGAGAATCATAGGGTGTTAACTCTGTGGCCAGTGCTGATGAGTCAGGGTCCAACTCGTTTAATAGTATGAATCTACCTGAAGATGCTAGTCATGAAGTAGATATATAGCCTGTGGTGTCAGGAGAAAATGTTGTAGATGACGTTGAACAGCGAGATGAGAATGTGGCTGAACAACAAAGTTCAAATGAGACAAGTACCGCGGTGTTGAACCAGGCTAATGGAGCATCTAGCGATAGTGGTCAAAGTGGTCACGATCAGCATTAGATATTACAACCAGTGACACGCCATCACATGGTTACACGCAGCAAAAATGGAGTGTTCAAACCCAAGCTGTACTCCTCAACTATCAGTGGTGAATCTGCGTGCCAGAATAGTAGCGATATGAGTGAGGTTGAACCTCAAAATATTCATGAAGCCTTCAAGGATCCGTTGTGGAAGGCTGCTGTGCTTGCTGAATATGAAGCACTTCAGAGGAATAATACATGGTCGGTTGTCCGTCTACCAGAAGGAAGAACTGTAGGTGGCTATTTCGAGTCAAGCGTAATGTTGATGGCTCGATACAAAAATATAAAGCCAGACTTGTTGCTAAAGGATTCTCACAAGTGCCTGGTAAGGATTTTCAAGAACGTTCCCCTGTTGTAAAAATGTCAACAGTGAATGTTGTGTTGACAATTGCTGCTCGCAATGGTTGGAGTCTAAGACAAGTGGATGTAAATAACGCGTTTTTGAATGGCGAACTAAATGAAGAGGTGTTCATGGACAATTGTTGCTCGCAATGGTTGGAGTCTAAGACAAGTGGATGTAAATAACGCGTTCTTGTGCAAATACCTCGTTGTTCATTAGACATAGTGATTGTACCAACACGTATATCTTAGCCTATGTCGATGATATCATTGTTACAGGAGGCAAAAATGAGGACATCGAGCAAGTTATGAAGCTGCTAGGAGCAAAATTTTCACTCAAAGACTTGGGTAAGCTTAATTTCTTTCTTGGAATTGAAGTTAAGGGTGTTAATGGTGCAGTGTTCCTTAGTCAGAAGAAATATATAATGGAGCTGCTAGATAAGTCAGGAATGAGTAAGGTCACAGCAACTCCAACTCCTATGGTTGCGTCGATTAAACTGTCAAGTAACGGTGCAGGCAGTTTGTTAGAAAACGCAAGGGAATATCGCAGTTTAGTTGGGTCCTTGTTGTATGCCTGTCATACAAGGCCAGACATAGCTTATTGTGTGAATAAGCTAGCACAGTTTATGCATGCACCATGCGAACAGCACTTGGTGGCTGTCAAACGGGTGCTGAGATATCTTAAGGGGACACTTGATTATGGCCTGGTGTTTTTGTCGAGAACATAACCATTTCAGCTTGTGGCCTTTGCTGATGCAGACTGGGGAAGTAGTATTGATGATAGAAGGTCCATATCAGGCACCTGTGTTTTCCTAGGTGGTAGTATGGTTTAGTGGAGTTCAAAGAAACAAAATATAGTCTCGAGATCCACCACAGAGGCTGAGTACAGGAGCCTAGCTGATGCCACATCTGATGTCGTTTGGCTTGAAGCATTGCTGACTGATATGAAAGTTCCAGTTCAAGCTGCTTCAGTGGTGTGGAGTGACAACACCAGTGTGATTTCCATGAGTGCTAACCCAATACACCACTCTAGGACAAAGCATGTGGAGTTAGACATACACTTTGTGAGGGAACGTGTGGCTGCAGGAAGGCTTCAAGTGAATTTTGTACCTTCTGAACATCAAGTAGCAGATGGACTTACTAAAGCACTAACGAAAGATAGCTTTGCTCAGTTCAGGCAAAGACTTGGTGTGCTGTCGTTTCTTGAAGTTGAGAAGAGAAAAAATAGGGAGGATATTGAAGTGAATATTCTAGAATGAATCTAGAATGAGCTGCTGAAGTAATTTGCTGTGTGTGTGTGTAATGTAGTGCAGTAAGTTTGTTAGGATTTTGTTATACCAGATTACCAGCTTGTGGAGTTAGTTACCACGTGTATATAAACCGTGTGTTGTTAATGAAAAGAACTAAGAAACTTCCATCAAGATTTACAGCTTTCTTTACTCATTCTAATATCCTTCATCCTCAAGCTCTCATGCTATTACTGATGGATCAACGCTGGTAAGAAATCGCGACCCCATGGCCACTCGGCCATGGTTGAATGACTCTTGAGCCTCTCAGCTTCCCCTTTGTTCAGCTTGTATTTATGTCCGTAAAACTTTTTGTGTGGAATGCTCAAGGTTGTGGAAGTCATAATTTTGTCCGAGTGACGAAACAATATATTAGAGACAACCGTCCGGGTGTTTCTGTATTTGTTGAAACTCGTATCAGTGGCAGTGTTTCAAATCACGGTCCAAAAACGTGATAATACTCGTGAAATAGTTGTAGCGCCGCTATCCGAATTACCCACTATACCCGCAATAGTACCCACGGCCACAATCACGATAAACACGAAATGACTTAAAACGCAATCGCGACCGCGATTTGAAACCCTGATGAGTGGTTCTAACGCTAATCAAGTGATTGGTTCTGAGTTTTCCAAATTCTTATAGAGTCGAGGCTATCTGGTTTACTGGCGGTATATGGCTCTGTTGGTTTGATAAAATTCATATTTCCATCTTAGCTTGCCATTTTCAATTTATTCACTGCTGCATTTTCTCGGAGTCCTCGTCTGATACGTTTCTGGGACCTTTTATTTAAGCCAATCCTTCCATCAGCCAGCGTAAAAACCTTTGGGATCATCTTCATGATGTAGCCAGCGTAAAAACCTTTGGGATCATCTTCATGATCGGTAAGGATGTGTTTCTAATTCCCCCGAACCTTCTCTTCAGGACTTGGTTTTTAGTTGTGGTCTGTATGACCATGGATATGTTGGCCCGCGTTTACTTGGTATCGTGGTAACTGTACAGTGAGGCTTGATCGTTGCTTCGGTAACTCTGTTTGGTTTAAAAGGCTTCCGAACTCTGCTCTCCATCATCTCCTTAGAATGAAATCGGATCACAGACCACTTCTTTTATCTTCAGCTGTTAGTTCTTGCTCTAATCGAACTCCAAAATTCAGGTACTTCTCGGGATGAAATGAAATCGGATCACAGACCACTTCTTTTGTCTTTCAGCTGTTAGTTCTTGCTCTCATCGAACTCCAAAATCCAGGTACTTCTCGGGATGATTTCTTCACCGAGACTTCAAACGCTTAGTTAAGGATAATTGATGCTCGACCCTCTCAATATCCGAAACTATCAAGAACTTTACCTCAGTCACGGTTACTTGGAATAAGGAAGTGTTCAGTGAAATTGGTCGTAATAAAAAAATCATCATGGCTCGGCTCCGGGGAGTTAAAAGATGCCTTGATAAAAAAACGTTCGAGCAATATGGTGAAGCTCGAAGCGAAGCATCTCAAGGACTTAGAGGTCATTCTTGATCAGGAAGAATAGATTTGGAAACAGAAAGTGCATATGGATTAGATCAAATTTGGAGATCGTAATACTCGCTTTTTCCACTCTAACGCAATGATTCAAAGGCTTTAAAAATAACGGGGATTGGTGCGATGATTCTTCTAAATTAAAATAGGCGACAACCTCTTATTTTCCGAATCTTTTCGCCGTTGACAGTAGGCCGCATCCCTTCTTCCCTTATTCGAGCATGTTCCCTCCTTTTCAAGCTGGTCATCTCGACTCATTGGCTGCTACCCCGAATGTGTCCGAAGTCAGAGAAGCCCTTTTCTCTATGGCCCCTCTCAAGGCCCCCGGTATCGATGGGCTACACGCTAATTTTTTCCAGCGTAATTGGGAGTTAGTGGGTTTCTTAGTTTGTCGCATGGTACAATCAGTTTTAATGGAGCTGATATTGATCACCTTCTCACTCAAACTTGTGCAGTGTCCTTTACAAGCCGGTTACGAAAGTAATCGTTCGGCGATTGCAACCTATTATGTTGTATCTTATTGGACCTTATCAAACCAACTTCATCAAAGGCCGCAGTATAACAGAAAATGTGATCGTCAATCAAGAAATTATTCACACTATGAACTCTAAGAAAAGAACAGTGGGGTGGATGGCAATAAAAGTTGACCTTCAGAAAGCTTTTGATTGTGTAAGATGGGTATTCATTGAAGACAAGTTGAATGAAGCTGGTTTCCCCATTCCTCTTATCTTTTTGATCATGAAGTGCATCACTTCTTCAACAATACTGATTCAATGGAATGGAGATCTTAGTGTCGAATTCCGGCCGAACAGAGGTATTAGGCAAAGAGACCCCTTATCTCCTTACCTTTTCAACCTAACGATGGAGAGATTAAGCCACGCTATCTCCTACAAAGTCTCCATCGGGGAGTGGTCAGCTTTCAAACTCAATCGTAATGGCTCTCCCATTTCACATCTTTTCTTCACCGATGACTTGGTTCTTTATGCTAAAGCTAATATGGATAATGCTTCCATCATTGACTCCATACTTGATCTTTTCGTTAGTTTTCCGGTCACACGGTTAACAGGAGTAAGACCAAAATCTTCTTCTCCAACAATACAATTAGAGTGATGCGGACCTCTATATCACCAAAATCTTCTTCTCCAACAATACAATTAGAGTGATGCGGACCTCTATATGCTCTACTCTTGGCTTTCAGGAAATTAATGATATGGTGCTTTATCTTGGTATTCCGGTTCGGTATTTGGGGGCGAATAGAAACATTTACAATTTCCTCGTCGATAAAGTTAAAAGCAAACTTGATGGTTGGTCGACTCGTTTCTTATCCTTTGCTGGTCGCGCTACTCTTGCAAAAATAGCTCTCTTCATTATCCCTTCGTATGTCATGCAAGCTAGCAAGCTCCCATCCAGCGTCTGCCAGAAGATTGAGGCCATTATCCGGTGTTTTATTTGGAGTTCCAACTCTACCTCCTCTCACGTCTCCCTTGTCAACTGGGAGTTAGTTTGTCAGCCTTTAATTCATGGAAGATTGGGATTCCGTCATATCGATAATGTTAATGATGCTTTCTTATTGAAGATTTGTCATTCTATTGTTGTTAACTGATCATCCTATCGTGTTTCTCTTATCCGTAACAAATATAATCTGCAAATCACTTGACCAGATTCTATTACCCGAGTGAACTGCTCATATTTGTGGCGCACGTTGTCTTATCTTTGGCCGACTTTTATTAAATCCATGGCCTAGTCTGTGGGCAATAGACTCTTGATCCGATTTTGGATTGACAATTGGATTCCAAAGCTAGGTCTTCTATCTTGCTGGAGGAACCCAAATATCTACATTGACCCTTCTTTGATGGTTACTGATTTAACCCTCCCTGGTGGCTCTTGGAACATGTTTGTTATCTATCAACTCCTTCACCCTCATTCTTTGGATCTTTTCCAACACATCATGCCTCTGCAAGATTTGATTGGGAGTGATTGTTGCTATTGGAAGGAAGAGAAAATTCATAATAAAAGTGCCCACACCCTTATCGCCAAGCATTCTTGAATACCCCTGATTACGACTGTAAATGAGACGAGACAGATCGCGAGCTACTCGAGATCGACTCGATCAAGGCTCGATAAATACTCGGATCGAATGGACTCGACTCGAGTGAGCTCGACTCGAATTCTTAACGAGCCGAAACGAGCTACTCGATATTCGACTCGAAAAGCTCGTGAGCA